ATAGAACTACAGAAAGTAACACTGGGGAGAGGTAGAGTCAGCGCTTACTGTAGGAGTCTCAAGTAGTTTGTCCATACACTCTCATGGAGCATTTGTGCCCAGGAAGTGAGCCACAGCTGCTAAGGCAAACAACTATGCTTGGACCAAAAAAAGCTTAAAGCATTAGCGCTCAGCATGTACACTAAATCACAGTAAACCAGTGCACATGCACTCAAAGCAACCTGATTATGGATGTAGATCTTGGACAGTTTGAGGCAGTTAGATAATATTACTTGTATGACTGATTTATAGATAGTAAATCACAGAATTTTCAGAGTTGGAAGGGACCTCTAGAAATCATCTAGTCCAACTCCCCTGCTAAAGCAGGATTGCCCAGAGCACATTACTCAGGACTGCATCCAGGTGGGTTTTGAAAATCTCCAGAGTAGGGGACTCCACAACCTCCCTGGGTAGCCTGTTCCAGTGCTCTGTCACCCTAACTGTGAAGATGCCAAACAATTTGAATTTCAGGATATATGAAACACTAAAGAGTACCCTACTATTAGAACAATGGTCTCCAACTGATGAAAGGAGGGAATCATGCCCTGGGTTGCAATGGAGCACCCGAGGAAAGGAATAAAGGTTTCTGGCAACAAAATAAACAACAATGAGCCCTTATTTCTGCATAGTGAAAGATATCCTAATTCATTTTTCTATTTACCTGTTAAGGGCGGAAAAAAAAAAAAAGCCCCAAAACAAACCAAACTTCACCTACAATATTACTACTGAACCCAGAATTTTTACAGTCCAGTATGCCATGGACTTCCTGCCTACAGTTTCCAGTGAAGATGCCAATAGTTACTGACTGTAACACTTCTTTCAGCATTCTGACATTTTGTTTTATTTTTGGTTAAACCAGAAACAGTACTGTGTTAATCCAAATATATTGCATCAAATTACATAGTAGCCAAGAGATAGGAAAGCCTTCTGTTTGCTTCCACGCTGGATCAATATTTAACTAGTAACGCACAGGTGAAAGGCCTGGTTTCCTAACATTTTTGTTCACGTTGTTTCCAGTCAAGCAACATCAAACAATATCATTTCAAACAGTGGAAGTAAAACCCCTCAAAAGCATCCCAGAGGGGCTCAAAGGAAGAGAGTGCTTGAAAATACCCACGGCAATGAAACCTCCTGCGAGGAAGCGTTCAGCACCATGGCCAGCTCACAAAGGAAAACATTAATTGCATCAGCGAGGCGTGAGAAGACGGGGAGGAAACACAAAGGACTATTCATGAGAGTGTTGTTGGGCTCCTGGTTTGACACCTATCTTCAGAGTTATGCTTATAGTGGACTTTGTAACTGTTTAGTTTCCCAGCTCTTTTCTTCTTGTTTTGCTCACAGCTGCTTGTAATGTATTTGTTCTCAAAGACTGTCCAGAGGACGGATATCCCCATGCATACCAATGAGAGAAAGGTTGTTCACTTCTCCTTTGGGAGTAACAGTATCTAAAGAATCATAGGGAACAAAGAAGCTATATAGAACAGTGTAAGCCAAGAGCAAGAAAAGACCTTCCATCATAAAAACCTCTCTTCCTTTGACAGCAGTTATAGTTTCTTAGTAAAGAACTATCCAAGGACAAACAATTCAGAGCTCCTTTAATCCTATAGATCTGATCTTGAGTATACTTGCACAGGCCGTAGCTCTGTATATAGCATCAACCATGCCTTAGGAGATTTCAGTGAATTCTTGGTGATATCACTGAAAAATACATTGGAAAATAACTGAATATTATTTTACAAAGAAAAATAATAAAGCTATTTTGGTTCTGGCATGGCTTAGTTACCAGAAATATATTTTCCCCTTAAATCTTTTTTCACAAACACTGCCTACAAGACAAGCTAATTATATACCACTTCCCACCTGCTTTTACTTCTGCTAGAACAGTCCAGCATCAGTTAAAATCACCAGATCTATTTTGGAGCAACAGTGAAGACAAAAAGCAGGAAGAAAAACAGTACTAGAGTGCAACACTCACAGAGAGTTTGTGCAGCCTCCATCCTTGGAGGTTTTCAAGATCAAAGAAAGATCTAAGTAACCTGGCCTGTCCTCATAGCTCATCCTGCTTTAAGCAGCAGATTGAACTAAGTGACCTCTTGAGATCTCCCAACCTGAATTTTCCTACGATCCTAACCATTAAGGCCAGATTTCCAAGTTTCCCTTACCCTAACTCCTCTCCTAGGCAGAAGCTGATGTTATTAAAATTACGCATAATCATATCCCAACCCACTAATTAATTCCCTAAGGAATTTATTTCAAAATTTATCTTAAATTAAGGAAGATAGATATAGAGAGATCTGGTTTTCAAAGCATTAAAAATAAATGCCTTGAGATGCTTTAGTCTACACATGCCACACATGTATTGTGATCCAACATGAGAAAAGACTTACAAACATCGTGAGTGGACATCACAATTTTTTACAATATATAAATACATGTACGCTGTATATTTAAGAAAAATTCAGTGGTTCTTTACCCTTTTTAGTTGTCCAAACAGAAAAGTAGAGTCAGCAAAATTATGACACAGAACCAGGAAATACAGAATGAGAGTATAGGTACAAACATTCTCACCAAATTTAGAATGTACAAAGGGAGCCTAGAGGGAGGAATATATGAAAAGAAAAAGCAGGACATACTAGCTTTAAACTATGAGAGAAAGAGATAAAGAATAACAAAGGCATGCCTAGAACACATAATGCAACAACATGATCAAAGAGGAGAATTCTAAGAGCAGTGCAGAACTACACAATATTTAAGAAAAAAAAAATTACCTTATAGAACTGCAGCAATTTCTTTTTAAGGGTCCACTGGCAGCCTGTTTTCCAAATAGATTTCACCCCCTTCTCCATCCTCCAATTCAACCGCTGTCTAAAAGAACTCAAAACCAAGGGATCCATGGTACAGTAGCGCTTGCTGTTACATTCCATTCGTATTCCTCTCTCTACCCTTTCCATTTTTAATTGTAGCACAAAACAGCTTTGAAAAAGTGAGCATAATATCCCTTAAATTAAATTTCTAAATACAATTGCTTCTATTTACGTAACTTGCACACAAAACAATTTTCCTTCAATCACAAAAATATTTGATTCAGTTCTATTAGGAAAAAGTGATCTTTGAAGACTTACCATTTCTCACTCAAGTCTATGATTGACAGAAAATCCACCTTCCTATCACTTTTCATCTTCTAATGCTAAAAAGTATTTAGGTATTTTAGCAAAATAAACATGTTTATTTGTTGAAGATTTGTAAACAGAATGACCTTGTTAACTTCTAACTTTATTACAAAGGCATATGGAAATAAACAAGTAAGGGATCTAACTAGATTCACTGCTGGCTAAAATTCCACAGCCATTTCTTCAATCAGCTGCACTAAGTAGTGTTAAGTTTGGGTGAATGGGATAAAGATATGAGCACAGACATAACATTTCATCAACAACATCCAAACAGCTGGTACAATATATAAAGTTTGAATGCACAGATAGGACTTCAAATGATACTGTAACCGAACAACATGTACATTTTCCTCAGGGACACACTGCTCCAGATTAAAATCCACAGCCACCTTCCCATCAACACCTTTGATGACCATAATTCTCTAATAAACTAGAGACCTTTAACAGGTTAGAGCAAGTAACTCCCCAAGAACGGACACGAGCTGTAAGGTTTTAATTCAGAAAACAGAGACAACAATCAACTGGGAAACTTTTTATTTAAGCAACAAGGTAAAAGTAAAAGCTATACTACCAAGCAAGGCTTGAAAACTTTTTGTAGCAAAAGTTAAACAGCCAGTGAGAAGAGCAGTAGAATTAAGGAGAGAAAGTTATATCAAGTGATAGTCTTCTCTAAACTTGCTTCCAATTCATATAAATAACTGCAAAACCACCAACTAAAATCCCCCCAGTAATCTGTCAATATCAAATGAAAAACATTTTTAAGTAATTAAATTCATTCCCCAACACTCAAAGTGTATGTTAGGAATCATGCACCTCTCCCACCTACCTGGTATGCTTGCACTGAAATATCATTACCAGCCTACATCAAAAAGAGTACAATTTTAGTATTACCATCTTGCAAGTACAAGACATAGCTAGTCTGCAAAGCCAGCCTTAAAAAACTTCTGACAGTGGTGTAGAGCTGCTGTTCTGTGAGTTATATTTTAACTTCCTTTGGTTTCATGTCTCTTATCCCAAGAGCTACAAAGTGCACTTAGTGGGGACTGAAGAAAAATGTTAGTTTATGGCACCGGTAGTCTAAACTACAGAAAATTTGTGAAGCCTGTACCATGACCAGATGGCATTATCCTCTGGGCAATGTCAACAATCAAAAAGTACATCTTCTGTTTGTATTAGTGAGAGAGTACACAGGATGTGTACATGTAAAGTGTCTTACCTGAAAAGGTCTTTAAGAATGCACACTATTGGACAAAAGCATAATCCAAAAAAGGAGAGCTAGTTCTGTTGAAAAGAAAATTGCTTTAGATAAGAGCCCACTGACCGGCAAGCACAGAACAGCCTACAAGAATGCCATGAGGCACCAAGATGCACATGCCAGAAAAAATGATAAGCATTTTCACACAGCTTTGTAACAGAACAGGAAGCAGTCTCCATCCAATAGAATCCCATTAACATAAGGAATAGCAAGTCCACATCATTTTTCACAGTTCCTATTATATAATTTTCTTGTTGACTTTCAAAATATTTTGTTAACATTGTTTCCACACACATAACTGGACATGAAGAGCTGAAAGAGTCTGAGCAATCTATCATAAAAGTCGGGGGAACAGCAAAAAGCAATGAGCAACTTTTTCAGCCATCTCCTCAGGAACTGAGAAAAGCCATTTTCCATTTCACAAACACTTCTCTCATGTCTTCCATTAGGGTGCAAATGCAAACCCTGGTATTTCTCTACTCTGAAGCACAATTGGTCCCTAAGAAAGAACTTCTTCCAAATAATTTACACTTGAGTGCTTGATCTGTATTAGCTTGCCTAGTCTCAAGCACACAATGCTTTCTTGATAGCGACAGATCTTTTGTGCAACTGAATAAACTCCTTAGGTATTTGCCTCATAAAGGTATTCCCAGCTATCCTAAAAAGGGATGACTATGTTACACTCGGTATTTAGCAGGACTCACTGATTCTAGGTCTTTAGCTGTGCAATAAGGTCTAATAGCTTTTTTAACATTACTACTCCTGTAGATGCACTGCCAAGTATGGGGTTTTCCAAGCAACATAGGAAGTATTCTGCTGAAGCAGAAAGTCACTTTATAAGGTTTCTCATAATGTTTAGAGAAGACCCTCTGTACCCTGTACCAAAATGGTTCCAATGGTTCATGTAATGAAAAAGCTGATAAAGCTTTAGGCGTTTCTCAAACCCTGCAGCTTTGGGAATTTTACTGTGGTAAGCAGAGTAAAAAGAACTGCTGAAGCCACCAAACATCCCAGCTATTGCAAGCTCATACTCTGAATGGCCATAGAAAGAAGCCGGATCAAAGATAATTGGACCAGAATCATCCTCAGCTACATTTCCTCCCCAGAGATCTCCATGCAGGAGAGCAGGAACAATTTCCACGTCACAGAACAAACTGGGTATCTTCAGCTGCAGGGGAAAAAAAGCAAGACATGTAAGTACTACATTTTAATGTGAACGATTATAGAGTTTTATCTGCATACATGCAGAGTGTGAATTGAAACTTCTTAAAAGTCTGTGAAAAAAAAAACACCACCATAACTTGAAACAGCATAGGACTTAGTCAACAGAGATGCCCAGAAAACCAAGAGGATTTCTATTTCTCATAAAAGCTAGCAGCTGAAGAATAGTCATCCAAATAGTTTTTAGCACTAAACCCCCAAAAAATTTAAAATGGCATTTGGTGCTGCAATATTGACTATCTTCAATAATAACAACAACAACCCCAACCGCCCACTTCACCACTAGAAGGCTCAGGGATCTCTCACCAATCTTGAAGAGATTTCTACAAAGTAGTGCCCAAATAGCTAATACTGCAGTCACTTAATCAGACGCAAACCTTGAATGAATAGATAATGTGCAGAACAGTACTGCTTACATAC